ATATAAGATCAATCACAATAAAGCTTCCATACAAGACCAGTCACAATAAAGCTTTTATATAAGATCAATCACAATAAAGCTTCCATATAAGATCAGTCACAATAAAGCTTCCATACAAGATCAGTTACAATAAAGCTTCCATACAAGATCAAGCTTCCATACATGATCAGTCACAATAAAGCTTTTATATAAGATGAGTCACAATAAAGCTTCCATATAAGATGAGTCACAATAAAGCTTCCAAACAAGATCAGTCACAATAAAGCTTCCATACATGATCAGTCACAATAAAGCTTCCATACAATATCAGTCACAATAAAGCTTCCATACAAGATCAGTCACAATAAAGCTTCCATACAAGATCAGTCACAATAAAGCTTCCATATAAGATCAGTCACAATAAAAGTTGGAATAGTTAGTTTCTTCCATGACTAAATAATTGGTCATTGTATTTTAAATTGTTGGTGACCCAAATTCTATCCTAGATTTGAGAGAGACATCATGAAGGCGTCGTTTCCTTTTGGATCACTAGGTTTCTCGTTCTCGTTACTTTAATTGATATCTTTTGATTGGAGTTAATGTTATACGTGTGTATAGTTGCTATAGTGTGATATTTGTTTTACTTTGATAAGAAGTCAGTGTGCTTATATTGATTGTTATACACTAGAAGCATGATTATTTGTGAATAGTTTTATGTTTCTTCAGGTGCTGGCGATACCTTTTTCTATAATGAATCCTGCGGTGGATATGTCTCATATCCAGGACACATGGACTGGCCACATGGAACCAGAACTCATTGGACTGTACATTGATACAGCATTAATGCTTATTATGGGGGGAATGCCTTGGCAGGTGAGTGAGAACTGAATAAGAGTACAAAGTGTTGAGTTTGATAATCCAAGCTGTAGATGGTTGGAATTAACACACAATAAAAAATAGTGTATTACAGAAGTCATTTTGGTCCCATTAAAGCTTAAGTAGTAATAACCGAACGGTGAGTTACCTGTAAATTTTTAACATTTCATTACAACGTAAAATTGCCTTTCCTGCTCAAGAGGGGATAATTTGACTATTTTTGCTGTTAACTTGGTTTCGTAGGCGCTGTACCAACGCGTGCTTGCCTGTAAGAGTCCAAAGATAGCCCGGAATGCGTGTTTAATGGCGACATGTATCTCCCTACTGCTAGCCCTACCTCCCACAGTTGTTGGGGCCATAGGATCCGCCACAGGTATGGCAAATAGCAATCCACGGTATAATCAAAATATTGCAACCATTGGTTTGATTAATATAGTATAATCAATTAATGTATCCAATCACTCCTTTCAACAATTCAATAAAAACGTTTTGAACAGCTTGAACAATGATTAATTTAGTTGCTAGTTCACAGGTAACAATTACGATAATTACCGCGACATTTTAGCACATTTTCTAATTTCAGCAGGTTACCATATAACAAAATGATCGCAGAGCATATGCAACAACTTAGTTTACAGAAGCATCAATCAGCGCCATCATAATTTAACGTAATAGTGAAAGCACAAAAAGCGCTAAGTTAGGATTATTACCGCTAAAATATGTACATTTACGGAATACGTAATCGTAAAACCTGTTTCCTGTAATGACACATGTTTATGTCACGCATAGACATTATCCGCGTTATAAACTCTATTGTTACCCTATTACTGCTGTTTAAGTACCGTTGTACCTATGTATGCTATATCAAACGATCTGGTGATATTGTTTGACACAGATTGTATGTTTTATGACAGATGAACTTTATCACTGAGGTTAACATAAATAAACTGAAAACAGTTCAACTGTATATTGTTTGTCGTCGTTTTAACAAAGCGTTGGGATATATCCCTGTAGGTTCACAATAGAGGCAACATTCCCGAAAATTGCAGGCTTTGTAAATTTAATTTCCAAGTTTTAGTGAACTACGAAGGTAACCGGCAACACCATAGTGTTTTCATAGTTTATCATAAAACTTTCATAAAAGCATGTAAAATGTGATAGAAATATCCAGTATGTATCTTATAAGACTATCAAAACATTATAAAATATTAACTACTCACTGTAAAATGTTTATAACATCTTAATTTAGTAAGTAAACAATAGAATTATTTCCCAATAAGAACAATATGAGTATTTACTATGTTTGCAGTGTTGATAGATATACATTTAGCATACAATCGCGATATTGAATAGCATATCTCACAATGTAAAAATATTGATAATAGATTTAATCCACTAAGTCGAAAATAGTTTGAAATTTAATGTTAATAATAACAATATGTTACAGTATGAACAATAGACTGTTGAAAAATCTGTTTAAGATTGGAACGCCACTGAATATCCGGGAAATGTGCCGCTTGAGTACAAACAGTGGGCTCACATTTTCCCCATGGTACTTCAGTTCCTCTGCCCAACAGCGGTCTCCATCATTGGTATAGGAGCCGTCTCGGCAGCAGTCATGTCATCTGCAGACTCGTGTGTTTTATCTACTGGAAGTGTATTCGCAAATAATGTATACAAAAATATATTTCGACCTAAGGTATATATGACTTTTAACAATGTCTTGCAAAATGAATAAACTTATGTTTAGGGTTTTTTTGGCCTCCAATTTCATAAAAGAACATGCATTAAAACATGTTTTGCAATCAAAACTTGTTTATTTTATTAGCATTTAACATGTTACAATTTTTTAAGAAAATGATAAAATTGTGTTTAACATGCCATCAAAAATTGTTTTGCAAGACAAAAGGATGGTATCAACTTATCTGGTATATTTTACTGTTAAAACATTGTAATATTTTCAAAATGACACAATATTTTTCAACATAATGTAAATGATGACAAGGATTCGGGGAAACACCCACACAGCTGATGTAGATGTTATGATGAAAAATATTGATTCAAAATTAAAATGGTTGTGAAGATTTTTCAACACATTGTACATGTCTGACAGCTAGGCATATCTAGACAAGCTAGTTAATGACTTGTGACCAGTAATTCTTGAGACGAAGTCTTTAAGGATTTTGATCATTTGACTCAATGACAACATCAATAAATTTAGCAAAAATTAAAGCCCTCCACTAAGCAGGTTAGAGACAAAATAAAATAACTGTATATTTAGAAGAAGTTGCTAAAAGATAATTACCACGATTGACACCTTGACTTTGAATTTTGGTCAATGTTACTAAGACGTTCATTCAAGCGAAGAACAATTAAAATAGAATTACTCTAAGTCTAAATTATATGATATCATTTGAAGTGTTCAATGCCTTTGACACATTTGGCCTTGAAAGCGGCTTGAAGTATTTTGTTTGAACACATTTAAAGTCATTTTCCGCAGAATGCTGCGCTATCGAATTCCAAATTTTGATTAATTTATCAATAATTTCTTTATTGACGTATTATCATTTCCGTTGTTGTAGGTAACTTTACAAATGTGATAAATAGAATAATTTACTGTTCTCCAGTACAATGATTACATTTCAGGGCAGAATATACCGATATTCGTGCTTTGCATTTGTGAAGTATAATTATAATATACTCACATGTGAAATATATATTATATTTAACAGAAAATTGAAAGCTTGAATTAAGAGAAGTGATATCGTTACATCATTATATTGACTATGTACAAATGTGACAACAATCGTCATACTTCTGGTACAAGAATTAAAGTGATGATAGAATGGCCCTGGGAATTGAGAAAGGAAACATAATAGATTAATATATTCCTGGATTCGTATACTCGTGAACCATTTTATGAAAATAGTGTTCAAATGTTAATGGTACGTGGAAAGGTTAAAATGCACGTCATTTTATATATTCAAAAATATTGTTTTTTAACTAAGGTTGAAAGTTGCTAAGTGCAGTGTATGTGATATTGTGTTGCCGACCCGTTATTTCTTTACTTGTGGCATTCTTTTAGGTTGGAAATGTTTCATCAATATCTAATACTTATAATATTCAATGATTGGTTAGGTTTACCTTGACACTTTCATAAACGAAATTTTTCTGTTCCAGGCAAGTCAGAGAGAGATTGTGTGGGTCCTTCGCCTGACGATAGTCGTTGTTGGTACCGTTGGAGCGGTCATTGCCCTCACAGTGGGCAGTGTGTACGGACTATTCATAATGTCCGCTGACCTGATGTACGTCATACAGTTTCCTCAGCTTGTCTGTGTTCTATGGGTCAAGTGTGCGAATACATACGGCAGCCTTACTGGCTTCGTCATCGGTCTTTTCCTCCGAGTGGCGGGAGGGGAACCGTTCCTCAAGATAGCTCCATTGATCCAGTATCCCATGTACCACGAAGAATACGGACAGCTCTTCCCTTTCAAAACTGAGTCAATGCTTTGTTCCCTGTTCACGATTTGCGTTGTGTCGTACATAACAGAGCGACTGTTCACCCAAGGGACGCTATCCATGAAATTCAACATCTTCCATTGCTATAAAGACGCGGACGAGGAAAAGAAAAAAGATGACGACGGAGATATTGAAAAGAAAGAACCTTTTATAGCACCGGTAGAGCCAGACCATTTTGAATTACATCAAGTAAATCAACGGACGCCAATTAATTCGTTTTGAACATATGAACTTATATCATTATCATTAATGTCAACGTTTAGTTATTAACCATATAATTGCGTAACACTCGGGGAAGAATAATTAGCAAGACAACAGATATTATTTATACAACCTTTAATATGTATTTTCCCCACCCCAAACACATCTCTTTGTGGTTGAACCTCTGAGAAGGATATATGTCTATAACCTAGTACACAGAGACGCTACATGCACTGAAATAAAAGCGTAAGCAGGCGTCGCTATCCAGTGGTTGTTTTAACAAAGAAAGAAATATTGAGGAAGCTGTTATAAGAGAAAATCCAAACGTAATCTAGCGTGATATATTTGACTTTGTCTTGATCCCACATAAGTACATTGCCTAGGAAGAACTTCTTTGGGAATATGAATCAAAACATAAATATGTTTGATTTGATAAATAATGCCTCATAGTCTAAATTGATGCATAAGAAAGAACTGGCAACGCCGTAATGCACCTACATATCAAACTGGTTTCTCCCCCTCCCCCCATATCTGTACCTTTACAATGGTTAATGATGCTTCCGTTGGAAAAATGTTTAAGAAATGTACAAGAATCTTCATAGAGACTGCTACTGCTCTCAATATTTATACTTACCAGATGTCTGCCCGACTTACGTTCTTTTATCAATAAAAAAAGTCCCGTGATTTTTTGTAGAACAAATGGTTATAAAACACACTTTAGTTTCTCTGTGATCAATTTATGAAACAATTAACGAAGACTCTTACTGCATATTTTACCCAGTTCAGGATATATAAGACCCCATATACGTGTCAGAATATGTATATGTAATATCATTGATTTTACATCTATGTCAATGATTTATTATAACACGGCTATTTTGTAAATATGATTTGAATCTAAATATGTAACACGGTCTTAATAAAAGAATCTATTATAATAATTAAATTGTCAGCTCTTTTTCAAAAAATCACAATTTAGATAAAAACGTCAATTTTTGGAAATCAAACATTACTTGTGAAGCATTCACCTTGAAACGTTTGAAGATGAATGCAATAATCCTTATTGAAGAATGTTTGTTTCCTTTGAAAACATTTGCTATGTAATTAAATGTTATTCATTAATAAGTTAATATTGCTTGTAGTCCAAGCATTTTCATTGGCTTAAACATTTATGTTATCAACCCAAAACTTAAAAANTTTGTCGTCGAAATATATCAGTAAAATCACGACATCCGGAGCAGGCTCTTTAGTAACGAATCAACTTGGGCATTAAAACACCGTTAGGAATGCAGGGTTGTTTCCGATCGCAAAACCGGATCCGTTCAACTGAGTGTAAAGCTTAGTGATAAGCTTTCTCTGATGGTCATGTTGTAAGTTAAGTTTCAGGAAAGTGGCTGAAGTAACAGATTATGCACTATCCTAGTTTTGTTTTTAATTTAATGACAGCACAGCAAGATACTTTACTTCACTTGTTCCAGTCTACTCATCTGTAAATGAGTACGCGGTTGGGTAGTGCTAGAATTGTAGAATGCTTGCTGTGAACGCCGAAAGGCAGCACTGGCTGTATGCTCCCCAGGGAGTTGATACAGATATTGGCTGGTTGCAAATGCCCTATAACCACGGATAATAATTTGTGAAGGGCTTTGAGTCGACCTACGAACTAGTTTGTGCTATAGCGGTATATAAGAACTTTATTATTAAACATTTCCAACATATTCAATCATCTGACCTAATTGCCAGACCCCCGTCCCCATCCCCCACAACCACCACTCATTTAAAATGCCTGCAAAGTCCGTCCCTGTCTATCTAATTCAGTGAGCTACGGCTTTACGGTAGTCATGTCCCTGAAATAAAGAATAATCAACGAATCAATGAATCAATGAATCAATAATCTACGAAAATTCATTGATGGTCCGAAATTACCGGCATATTGTTGCATAGTGAGCTGTTTTAGCGTTATAGATTCGAAACACATGTACTTTGCATTCTCAATCAAATTTTCAAAAGCTAGCAAAGTAAATGTTCAATTTAAAACAAACTAAGTATTTATTATTCATACTTAACTAATGATCTCATTCCGAATGGTTACAGAGTAACCTATGTCGTTATGATCATACAGTATGAATGGGTTCCTGGAGTTACATATATTGTTACGTTTTTACAAATTAGAGGCTTGGTAACCGATATTGCAATGTTCATAAATTTAAGCGGGTTTAAAAAATGTGTTACATTTGTCATTATGGAGACGACCGCAGAGGATATCATTATCGAGACCAGACGGAGAGATTGTCATTATTGGTACCAGACGAAGCTATTGTAACTATCGGGACAAGGCGTAGAGGTTTCGGGATCGGGACCTGATGGAGAGGTTGTCATTAAAGGGTTCAGAGCAACAACAATAAGCTACTAAATATTTTTTGCTCTAATTGAGTAAGTTGAATAAGTTCGGTGTCGCGAAGCAATTATAAATGTAAGAAATACTTATGCCATGCTGCTTGTTCACATTGTATGACGTCAAGACTGCAAGCTTGTACACTAGACAACAAAACTACTCAACAACAATTGTGATTGCCGTTTATTATAACGACATTATATAACAACATTACACAACTGCATATGACTTTACATATTTTTTAGCAATAAAACAGTACATATAACAGTACATAGCATTACGTATTCGCCAAAGTAATGTAAAACAAGTTTGACTAGTGTAGTTGAGGGTATATATGGCCTCACCGTTACATAATGATTAAACCCTCTTAACAAATAGAGGTATTATAATGAACGTGACTAAAAATACAAATTGATAACAAAATACTGAAGAGAAAAATTATCATACTAAAGAGCAAAGGCAATGTAAAAATGAATTACTTAGAATACCACACAACTTCACCCTAGTGGAGATAGGGGAGGTGGTGGGTATGCAAATATAAATGGCTTTTTACCTTTAGCCTTTGCTCTTTCTTGTCAGTGACGCTTTTGTGTGCCAGTCACGTCATTATATTGTCACGTGACTAATTTGCATATCCAAGCGTGTAGCCAAGCCACTCGCTTGAAATAACACTTTATTAAATTAAAATTAAAACCACAAGCACACATCATAAATGCAATTAAATATATATATTTAATTGTTTATTTACTTGTTTGACTTTCTGCAACAACTTACTATTTAGTTTTTACCGTGTGCTTCCTTACCTTGTTTTGTTTGTATTTACGTCCTCTTATCAGCCATGGTCATTTAAGGACATGCCCGGTTTTTGTGGTGTAGGAAAACCGGAGTAACTGCAGAAAACACCGACGACCTGCGGCCAGAACCCGCAAGCCACTGGCGGTGGCAGATGATCGTAGACGGTCAGACGCCTTAACAACATGGCCAATGCGGACTCCATGTGCTCCCTTACAGAACTCACACAACTAAATCATCCAATCAGCAAGTGTTTCATACGATTGTAATCCCTACCTCAAATTGTTCCGGTTCAATACAGTGCCTCCGAGTAATTGTTGACATGTTTTACATTGAATGAAATCTACAGATATTGAACTTTAGAAAAATGTATAGTTTTAGTAGATTTTAATGTGTGATGGCGGATTGATATGGGTCAAACGTCAGGGTTGTTACCGTTCCACTTCACCGGTTTGGTTTGTAAACTTCCGGTTGTCAAAAGCAGACACCTGTAGCGCTCTTATATGCCTCTAATCTCAGCAAAAATGCATTTGAAGCCTTTGTCAGAAATGTATATGTGAATCTAGACAGATGTCACTAGTGTTGAACTTAAAATATTAACGCTATTAGCTAAAATGCATATCTTTATTTCCATACAACTACACTTGTTTGATGCTTTGTGCTAAACAGAAGAGAGCAGTTGTGATATTGTTGAAGTTAAATGTTCTACAATAACAAGTTATTCTGAAATTGTCGAAGCTATGTGTTATAAAAATGAGAGCCAACTATCATATTGTTCAAGTTAGAAACAACCGCAGATTTCATACTCATATTGGTTGAATTTGTTTAAAGCAGCGAAGACTGTAATTGACATATATTTAAAATCTAAAACAAATGGAACGAAAACCAGCAACTGAAGCCATATTGGTTTTAATACAATCAAATATTTGTCAACAACCTACCAGAATGGCCGGTGTATATTTCAGGTTGGCGAATGTGACCCAGTGTTCAAAGAAAGATAGGTCGAATACACTCAGAATGTTACATTGGGTATTTAAAGTAAGTTCTTTTGACGTTAAATAAGTTATAAAAACTTTTCTTTAAAATTCCTCATACTGTACGTCTGAACATCGGGGTTTGCTGGATGGTTTATTCTTCTCTTCCAGTTTTTTCGCAAGGGTCAGAATGAGTAAACCTACGTTTTCCAGGAGAAATATGATATCAGTGTACAGACGATGTTCGTACTTCTACCTCCTGTATAGTCACGCAGGTTACATGTTCATGCGTAATAGTTTGAAAAATATCAACTTCGAAAAATGCACCGCTCCACAAATCAATGCTTTGTAACAAAAGAGGGCAACTGAACTGGTATTGCTGACGTTATTTGTTTCGCAGAAAAAGATTTATATCTGATATTTAAAAAAAAATTATGAATAGAAATGATTAGTTGTCCAACAGAAATATCACCATAATTGAAGTATATCTTATAATAAATTGAACAAGATGCGCATGATTTAGTGTCTACCCCTGTTACTAGTTACACAGGTTATTGTGGCTTTGTAAATTTATCGTCATATATGTCTATTTCTCTAGCTGGGATAATAATCGCCCCGAAGGTCCGCAGTATGAAATACTCCACCGTCTTTGATCCTTTCCAGCAAAAATACGGAAACAAAATGAGAGAATTGCTCTTCTCCCTCAGTTGTTTTGAGACCTGTTCTGGGAGAATGCAATTTTAGGAGCTTGTGGTACACTGTGTTTGGGTTATTATATTTGAATTGATACTTTCGATGAAAACTATTTGTATATCTTTATAGTGGCGCCATCTGTGAAATCATGAGTGGAAGAAAATGAACAGGTATCTCTGTTCCCATCTTGTCTTTGTCTCTCTACAGATATCTCTACTCCCATCTTGTCTATGTCTCTCTACAGATATATTTACTCCCCTCTTGTCCTTGTCTCTCTACAGATATCTCTGGTCCCATATTGTCTTTCTCTCTCTACAGGTATCTCTACTCCCATCTTGTCTTTTTCTCTCTACAGATATCTCTACTCCCATTTTGTTCTTGTCTCTCTGCAGATATCTCTGTTCCCATCTTGTCTTTCTCTCTCTACAGATATCTCTGTTCCCATCTTGTCTTCCTCTCTCTACAGGTATCTCTAATCCCATCTTGTGTTTGTCTCTCTACAGATATCTCTGTTCCCATCTTGTCTTTCTCTCTCTACAGGTATCTCTACTCCCATCTTGTCTTTGTCTCTCTACAGATATCTCTACTCCCATTTTGTTCTTGTCTCTCTACAGATATCTCTGTTCCCATCTTGTCTTTCTCTCTCTACAGGTATCTCTAATCCCATCTTGTGTTTGTCTCTCTACAGATATCTCTGTTCCCATCTTGTCTTTGTCTCTCTACAGATATCTCTGTTCCCATCTTGTCTTTGTCTTTCTGTTCCCATCTTGTCTTTGTCACCACAATACCATCGTTTTTTCCCCTTTGTAATTTAATTGATAATGAAATGTTTTCAGGCACGACGCTATCCATAGTACTAGATATGACCATGTCCGTGAACGTGTCCACCTGTGTGGCGGTCGGCTATACCTTATTTGGGGGCCTCTACGCAGTGGCTTACATTGACGTCATACAGCTCTTCTTCATTGCAGTTGGCTTGGTAGGGTTTCATTATGTGAATGTGTGTTTTGTACAAACAGATTTGAACTACCCTGATCATTTTTGAGTGTCGTGTGCAATCTGTAGAAATTTGTCTTTTATATTAGCCTTCTTCAGCCCTAATGAAAGGGGAAATACCGAGTGGAGGAAATTATGTCAGTTTAATGGATGACATAGGCAGTGTGTAAAGTTCTTTATTCTAGTTCAGGTTCGGGAAAATGTGAAGGCCATTCATCTGTTCCTCGTAATCATCAATAAATGGAGGTTTCCTAACGAGTAATGGAGGGTTGCCCTTTTTTGGATGCTCTGTACAGCATTCATAGCGGTCATTGCCAAGCCTGGGAAAATCAAAACCAAACAACAGACTTTCTTCTTCCGCGGAAGATCTGTAAATGCTGTGTTGATTATTTCATGGTATGATTAATGCTATAAAATGATGAAATACATATGAAAACGATCAACAAATCAAAGAAAAAATGTTAAAATTTTACGAAAAGACGAGTTTTTTTAGTGGGCATCATGAACTAAATCAATCTCAGATTACTACGTTTTTTGGATGTTTAGACAATGTGGTCATTATTTTATGATATGATCAATGGTATGCTATGGTAAAATAAATCTGTATAGTATCTGTATAAGACAAACAAATCAAAGAAAATATGTAAAGATCTTTAACAGTGGCTCTTTTAATCACTGAAAGTTCCGAATTGTATTTGGTTCAAATTACTACGCCTCGTATTCTAATACTCTAAAGTGTGTGTGTAAGTGTTTTCTCCCCTTGTCCATCATTGCGTAGTTTTATGCTCGCGACTTGTTGAACGATTGTTTGATAACTGTCCTTGATTAAGTAGGCTTCGTGTTTTCTTTGTCTCAATGGAAAGTCTCCAAGTGAAAGAGAATGTTGACTTATACTAAAGTAGCCGCCAGCAGCTGTGCCTAACGAGTTTATAGATAGCTTCCCAATACGACAGCAGCTGTGCCTTACGAGTTTGTAGATAGCTTCCCTATACAGTCTCGAGATAATGGCCTGATTAGTATAATACAAGTGCTTCGTGAATATAGCATATTGAACATCAAAAATTAAAACCGTATATACATATTATCCACATTAACCAGAAACTGAATAATTATATAGATCTTTAACCTTCGTTACGATATCGAAAGAAGGAGAGATACACAAAGGACTTGCATAAGTCCGTGATTACACGCACTGGAAATAATACAATCTCGTTTTAATATTTTTGTATAATTAATCATGATAATAACAAATTGTAATAATAATATCATTATTATTCATTTACATTATCTATATAACATTTTTTTTTATTTTTTTATTTAATCGTAAACTTTCCCATAATCTTACGGGACAATTTTGGTTTGCAAGGTTGTCTGGTCAAGGTTACTGTTACTATTTTTAAAAAGATCATTTTCTGCACTGTAGCAGCTTCATTCCTTGAAGGATTTCCATCGATTTGAAACACTAGTTAAGGACCATATTATCAGACAAATTTCAATTTCAGGGCTGTTGGATCAAGGTCATCGTTACTTTTTATATACTGCTAATGGTAGCCAGTAAGGGACCTATATTGTTTTAGCAATACTCTGCTAATTATATATATTTTTATTGAAAATTATGATTAAGGTATGGGCTATTATGACCCTTACTCAACAACATGTTTTTTTATTATTTACTGCCATTCTGTACTAATATTCTACCTCCTTTATTCCATTATTTGAATCCTTCATACACAGCAGCCCTTAGTGCGCTCGGCACTTTGATTATGTAATTCTCGAGCAGGTAAATGATTCCAAAAACCAAGCACCAAACCATGGAAATACTACTTATATTTTCGGGGACCCGCATTCTCCTAACAAGCAAATTACAGTGTTGGTTTCCATACAAGATCAGTCACAATAAAGTTTCTATATAAGATCAGTCACAATAAAGCTTCCATACAAGATCAGTCACAATAAAGCTTCTATATAAGATCAGTCATAATAAAGCTTCCATACAAAATCAGTCACAATGAAGTTTCCATACAAGATCAGTCACAATAAAACTTCCATACAAGATCAGTCACAACAAAGCTTCCATACAAGTTCAGTCACAATAAAGCTTCCATACATGATCAGACTCAATAAAGCTTCCATACAATATCAGTCACAATAAAGCTTCCATACAAGATCAGTCACAATAAAGTTTCCATACAAGATCAGTCACAATAAAGCTTCCATACAAGATCAGGCACAATAAAGCTTCCATACAAGATCAGTCACAACAAAGCTTCCATACAAGTTCAGTCACAATAAAGCCTCCATATAAGATCAGTCACAATAAAGCTTCCATATAAGATCAGTCACAATAAAGCTTCTATACAAGATCAGTCACAATAAAGCTTCTATACAAGATCAGTCACAATAAAGCTTCCATATAAGATCAGTCACAATAAAGCTTCTATGCAAGATCAGTCACTAAAAAAGTTGGAATAGTTAGTTTCTTCCATGACTAAATAGTTGGTCACTGTATCTTAAATTGTTGGTGACCCACATTCTTTCCTAGATTTGAGGGAGACATCATGAAGGCGTCGT